TTGTTTTTCATAACTTTGTTAAAAGATAAATTTCCTATACATACCTGGTTGATACCTGGTTGATGGGGTTCTGGGAGTTCGTCTACTCCCCAAGCCCGGCCCGAGGCCAGGCTCGACTTGTGAGAGTTTGGTCCACCAGGCTGTTGCTTGGAGCGGCCCGCAGGCCCACATACCCACCACAGCCCGGTTGGTCCGGCACTCCTTGGAGGAATAAATCTAGTTTCCTCTTGAAAATGTCCACGGTTGTTCCGGCAATATTTCTTATGCTTGCTGGGAGGACGTTGAACAACCGCGGACCTCTGATGTTTATACAGTGTTCTCTGAATGTGCCTATGGCACCTCTGCTCTTCATTGGTTCTATTCTACATTTTCTTCCATGTCGTTCACTCCAGTACGTTGTTATTTTACTGTGTAGATTTGGTACTTGGCCCTCCAGTATCTTCCAGGTGTATATTATTTGATATCTCTCTCGTCTTCTTTCTAGTGAGTACATTTGGAGGGCTTTGAGACGATCCCAATAATTTAGGTGCTTTATTGCGTCTATGCGTGCCGTATATGTTCTCTGTATTCCCTCTATTTCAGCAATCTCTCCTGCTTTGAAGGGGGAAGTGAGTACTGAGCAGTACTCAAGACGGGACAACACAAGTGCCTTGAAGAGTACAACCAATGTGATGGGATCCCTGGATTTGAAAGTTCTCGTAATCCATCCTATCATTTTTCTGGCTGTCGCAATATTTGCTTGGTTATGCTCCTTAAACGTTAGGTCGTCAGACAATATTATTCCCAAATCCTTTACATGCTGTTTTCCTACTATGGGTACATTTGATTGTGTTTTGTACTCTGTATTATGTTTAAGGTCCTCATTTTTACCGTACCTGAGTACCTGGAATTTATCACTGTTAAACATCATGTTATTTTCTGATGCCCAGTCGAAAACTTTATTAATATCAGCTTGAAGTTTTTCAATGTCCTCAGCCGAGGTAATTTTCATACTGATTTTTGTGTCATCTGCAAAGGATGATACGAAGCTGTGACTTGTATTTTTGTCTATATCTGATATGAGAATAAGGAAAAGCAGTGGTGCAAAGACTGTACCCTGAGGTACAGAGCTTTTCACTGCACTTGGACTAGATTTTATATGGTTGACAGTTACTCGCTGAGTCCTGTTTGACAGAAAACTGAGTATCCAGCGTCCTACTTTACCGGTTATTCCCATTGACTTCATTTTGTGTGCTATCACGCCATGGTCACATTTATCGAAGGCCTTTGCGAAGTCCGTGTATATCACATCAGCATTCTGTTTCTCTTCTAATGCCTCAGTGACTTTGTCGTAGTGCTCAAGTAGCTGTGAGAGGCACGATCTTCCCGCTCGAAATCCATGTTGGCCTGGGTTATGAAGGTCATTGGTCTCCATGAAATTGGTGACCTGACTCCTAATCACTCTCTCAAATACTTTTATGATGTGCGATGTTAGTGCAACTGGTCTATAATTTTTTGCCAATGCTTTGCTCCCTCCCTTGTGTAGAGGGGCTATGTCTGCTACTTTAAGTGCATCTGGTATCTCCCCCGTGTCCAAGCTCTTCCTCCACACTATACTGAGTGCCTGTGCTACCGGCACTTTGCATTTCTTTATAAATATTGAATTCCATGAGTCTGGACCTGGGGCCGAGTGCATGGGCATGTTTTCAATTTCTTTTTCAAAATTTAGTGCGCTCGTGTTTATATCAGTTATATTTACCGGGGTTTGAATATCCCGCATAAAGAAATTGTCTGGATCTTCCACCTTCATGTTGTTTATTGGAGTGCTAAACATGTCCTCATACTGCTTTTTTAGGATTTCACTAATTTCTTTGTCATCCTCCGTGTATGAACCTTCACTTGTACGAATAGGTCCAATACTGGCAGTGGTTTTTGCTTTTGATTTCGCATGAGAAAAAATATTTTGGATTTTTCTTTATTTCCTGAATTGCTTTCTGTTCTAACTGCCTTTCTTCAGTTTCATATGAGTGTTTCAATTTCCGCTCGATTTCTTCAATCTCCCTATTTAAATTATTCCTTCTTTGACGGGAAATTCGTGTCTGCATAAGCAGTTCCGTTATTTTTTTCCTGCGTTTATAGTGTCGTCTGCGTTCTCTTTCTACGTTAGATCTCTTTCTGGCTTTCCTCAAAGGAACATGTTTCAGACAGACTTGATACGCTTCTGAAGTAAGTTTTTCTATTCCTTCTGTAGGACTTGTATTATTTAGAACAGTTCCCCATGGAATGTTTGTAAGTTCCCTGTTTATTATCTCCCAGTCTATCCTTTTATTATTAAAATTGAATTTACTGAATAGCCCTCTCGCTTTATCAACGTTTTAGGTCTATTCTGAGTATTGATGGTCGTTTGCACTTCAATGAGTTTGTGATCTGAGTATGTGGTATCTGATATCGTAATGTCTCTGATAATGTCTTCATTGTTCGTAAAGACCAGATCTAGAATATTTTCATTTCTCGTTGGCTCCGATATCTGCTGATTGAGTGAAAATTTGTCACAGAATCTAAGTAGTTCTCTAATCTGTGGTTGGTTAGGTCCTGATAGATTTCCTGGTATAATATTATTGTTTGCTATTTTCCACCTGAGACTAGGCAAGTTGAAGTCACCTAGGAAAATAATATCAGGTATCGGGTTCTCCAAATTATCAAGGCTATTCTCTATTTTGCTTATCTGTTCTGTGAATTCCTCAGCCGTTGCATCTGGCGGTTTGTATATTAGTATAATCACTAAATTTATTTTCTCTATTTGTAATCCCAGTACCTCTACCACCTCATTTGTAACGTTTAGGAGCTCCGAGCATACAAGGTCTTCCCTAATATACAGACCCACTCCTCCATGTGACCTAATTTTCCTATCACACCTGTATAGGTTATATCCTGGAATCCATATCTCACTGTCCAACAATTCCCCTGCATGGGTTTCTGTGAAAGCTCCAAATACTGCATTTGACTCCATGAGGAGGCCATTTATGAACTGTACTTTGTTGTTTGTTCTTGTTTTCAGTCCTTGTATGTTGGCAAAGATGAATGAGGTTACTCTATTAGTGATAGTTTGAATGGGAGACTTTTTCGGCACGTCCATTAATCGTGGACATAATGAGTTTGTTCTGACCAGTACTGATTGTTGTAGGGCAGTTTTCTGTCGTAGTTGTAGTTCCCTTTCGGTGGGTAATTGTATCTGTAATTCTGGAATGCCAGTGGATCTGGCATCCAGTTCCATACACTCTCCATGCTGCTCCTTTTGAATTCTCTGCCGGTCTGGTATAAAAAATTTATAGAGTTTCCTCCAAATTCATTATCCTGCTTGCCACTCTTTATGTAGCGTTCCGTGCCTTTCACGTGAAAGTGTGGGCAGCTAAGGTCATAGCATTTTCTGTCCTCCAGTGAGGTTTGGCACATGTCAGGATGGAAAAACCTACATATTGATCCAAATCGACACTCACCTTTCCTAAGCATATTTAAACATTTTTTGGGATGTTGGTAACTGCATTCTAATCCTTTCTTATTACCAGCATATCTATGTCTGCATATGCCCTTTGCATAAAATTTGCATAAGTCTGTCCTTCTGTTCTGAATTGCTCTATCGAGAACCGTCGTGGTGTCTGTACCTATCGAGCTGTCAGTGCTGTCTGGTACACTTTCTAGTTTACATGTAGAAAAGTTATTTCTGACATAGTAAAATTAAACATTGTGTAGTAGCTCGTGTTGCTATGGCACGTAGTATTATTAGTGGTGGTGCCATTACTTATAGTACCGTAACTGGTAGTACCATGGTTTGTAGTAAAGTGGCTGTGGATGTCAATGTTGTGACACGAGATGCAGTAATGACAACGTAGCTGAAATTGGCGGCTTTGGGCCCCAGTTTCAGCTACGCTGCCACCTTAAAAATTATAGAGGACCCATCCTGAAAATGGTTTAGCTTTGCTGCTACCTGTTTTAGGGTAATTTTTTCAGCGTCCCAATTTTCTGCTGTGGACTTGGATTTATCATAGAATGAAAATTCCTCTTAGTGATCTTAATATTTTCTTTTTTGAAAAAATATTCTTTGCCATGTTAAGGAATTCTTATGTAGAAAATATACACGCTCATATATTTTTGTTTAATCATATCAATTCCATTTTCAGACAATACGATCAGTAAGAGTCTGTAAGGATTTTCCCATCTAAAATTATTAAACCTGACTCTCCCATACCATCTTTCTACGCCCCAATCTCATCATCTTCTCCATCACCACTATTATCTCTGTCCTTCCCTACGATTTCACAGCTTTAATTATCTGCCTTATGGTCACTTTTTGCACTCACAACTTCCCCTTAACCTCTCCTTACACCCCCTTCTCAGCTTCGTTCGCAAAAAATTTAAATGTATTCGTCTCTGTCTCTTATTAATTAAACTCTTGTTACCGTTCTACATCTCATCCTTAGTAAAAATAAAAATCAATAAATTTAACCTGCTTTGCCTTAATTCAATAATCGACACAGTGATTTCAGGAAAATTCTCGGCTATGGCCTTATTTCCATGTTTGCCAAACTTAGTTTTTAGAAAAACAAGTCAACTCTTAACTGAAGCCTTCATTAAACTTCTTTTACAGTTCCAGCTCATGTCCACTGCCTTAGTTTTCTCTTTCAACTTTTTTATTAACAGTGCCAGTTCCCAATATTTAAAATATCTTTATTTTGGACTTCGGAAAATATATAATAATTAAATTACCGAGCTGTGGCTCATGACCTTTATCTTAGTTCGCTCTTATTACATTGCCACAATCAGGTCAATTTGAATGAAATTCAAAACCGTTACATATCTGACCTGTGTGTGTTTGTGTGTACTCACCTAATTGTGCTTGCGGGGGTTGAGCTTTGGCACTTTGGTCCCTAGAGACTAAAGTGTGTGGACCAAAGTGTGTGTGTGTGTGTACTCACTAGTTGTATCAGTGTCTGACACAATATAATACATTTTCTTATTTCTAGGAGACACAGAGGTATAGAGATCGGCGACCAGCCTGAGCACACCAAGTGTCTGTTCTTACGCGACCAACATGTTGGCGGAGGTGGAGCAATATGTCGGCGGAGGTGGAGCAAGATTGTCGGCGGAGATGGAGCAAGATTGTCGGCGGAGATGGAGCAAGATTGTCGGCGGAGATGGAGCAAGATGTCGGCGGAGGTGGAGCAAGATGTCGGCGGAGATGGAACAAGATGTCGGCGGAGGTGGAGCAAGATGTCGGCGGAGGTGGAGCAAGATGTCGGCGGAGATGGAACAAGATGACGGCGGAGGTGGAGCAAGATGTCGGCGGAGGTGGAGCAAGATGTCGGCGGAGATGGAACAAGATGTCGGCGGAGGTGGAGCAAGATGTCGGGAGACGTGGAGCAAGATGTCAGCAGAGGTAAAGAGAGATTTATAAATTAAAACTAAACTACTCTTATTTTGTCCTGTTTGTGGACAGAAGTTTTCCCCATGACAGCAGTAGGCCTGTCTCCCCTCACTCCTCAAGACTGGAAAAAAAAACAAATCTAAAATTAGGTTTATATAACTAATGCTTGATTTGCTTGTTTTCTAAAAATTATTGTTAATTGATAAGAAATAAATTCATATTAAGATGACCTATTATAGACCGATTTTTAAGTTGCAGGTGATGTATAGAGACTAAAATGTTGGTGCTGTTCACACTATTAATTCCTTCCTCCCCATTATTTCTCCCGCGCTGCCTAAACCCTTAATAAAGTCTCCAGTTACTCCATGATGACGCCCAGACATTATTTAGTTCCTTTGTAAATACTGTACAGTTACTTTTACGTTTGCACATTTTGATGTTAAATTTGCTATATATATATATATATATATATATATATATATATATATATATATATATATATATATATATATAATTAGCATGGCTCAGTTTGCTGAACAGGCAGATTGTTTAAATTGTTTGGTTTGTCTTCACGAGATTTGTTTTAAATATATAAATATATTTGGGCAAACCTAAATTATTACTTGTGTTACTATATAACAACGCTCGAATTGAGGTAAATAGGCAGTACTGAGGCATAATCGACCTGGTTAGTTTAGGCTGCTAAATTTTGTTTGATTCAACCTACATTGAATACACTTCACAATTGATATATTAATTGTGTCTCCTTGTGCATAAAACCAAATTATCGACATTATTCATTATTTAGGGAATTAGGTTTGTTTGGTAAAATCTGCCTAAGAAGCACGACATATATATATATATATATATATATATATATATATATATAAGGACATTAATAGATCAATATTTTTTTATAATTAGGCTGTTTGTGGCTGATAAATGCGATTATTTTCTTGTTCATTTTATAGCGTGTATATCAATGTTGATGCGTGTATTAATGTGAACACGGTAGTAAGTAGACTCACCTTTAATGCTGTTGACACTGTATATATATCCTCATCACGTATTGTAGTGATGATCGCAAGTATCATTAGCCAGATGTGTAAATATTGGTTTTCCTTTGTTATAATGAATAGTAAAGAGCTTTGTATATCTCACTCTTTAATTATCCCAAACTATATATTTTCAGACAATAGTCACAAATCTAATTAAGAGTTTCCTCCAGGAGGAGGAGGAGAATTTTTTTGAGTTTAGGCGAGCCTAGCGCGAGGACCATGCAGCGTCGCTAGCGCCCTCCTTGGCATCGTTGGCATTGACAACGGAGACATAATTATCGTCACATAATAACCAACGAGGTCGATAAGCTTTAAGCTCTACACCTGAACTCACATCAACGTCGTGGTGTGACACCACTGGCGCAAAGGGTGGGACTTTCCCCCTACGGTATTGTGACCGTGAGTCATAGTACTTACAAGACTGACGTGACAAATGCAGTGATTCTGCATTTGGTTCAATCGGGAGGTATTTTAAGTCTAAAGGAAGGGATTTTAGCTAGGGGAGGAATTGGAGAGAAATGTCAGTCATGAGAGGAACTCCAAACTGGGAAAGAATGTACTCGGAGAAAACCTGGGATCGCAAGAGGAAGTTTGTGAACTGAGACCTCGAGTACCACTGCCGTAGCTCTAGCTATTCGAGATCATTTGCTGATGACACCAGGTAATGTGTCTACAATGTTTCACAAAACTACTGCTAAAAAGGTAGTAACTTCCTGTCGCACTGCAGAGCGCTGGACTTTCTTGTTAGTCTTCCACTAAATATTCATACTATCAAAAGGTCTTACTTAGGAGAGGAACCTTTGCTACACCTGTTTCACGAAGAGATTGGTCCTGCTCAAAACTAAGGGTCAGTTTATGGTGCTGAAAACAGTCAAAAGTTCTAATAATGGCAGAGCATTGAGGTAGAGCGCGCCATACTTCATGTCTTAAACAGGCAAGTGGCACACGCTGTCGTCCAGTCACGGGCTCTCTCACTCTCGCCTCCCATTGAACAAGACACGTGACAAAGCATCAATTAATTATGGATATAACATTAGAGCTTAACCAGACGCCATCTTGTTTAAACTAAATAATACATTAAATTGCAGATTCAATCACAGAACCTGATATCAGCGAGTGTGACAGTGAGCAGTAGCAATAGTAGCAGGCACCAACAGTACCACTACCACTAGTAGCAGCAGCCCCAGCGCCATTACCACCACCACTACCACCAGCAGCAGCAGCAGCCCCAGCGCCACTACCACCACCAGCAGCAGCAGCCCCAGCGCCACTCCCACCACCACTACCACCAGCAGCAGCAGCAGACCCAGCGCCACTACCACCACCAGCAGCAGCCCCAGCGCCACTACCACCACCAGCAGCAGCAGCCCCAGCGCCACTCCCACCACCACTACCACCAGCAGCAGCAGCAGCCCCAGCGCCACTACCACCACCAGCACCAGCCCCAGCGCCACTACCACCACCACCACCACCAGCAACAACCCCAGCGCCACTTCCACCAGCAGCAGCAGCCCCAGCGCCACTACCACCACCAGCCCCAGCGCCACTACCACCACCACCAGCAGCCCCAGCGCCACTACCACCACCAGCAGCAGCCCCAGCGCCACTACCACCACCAGCAGCAGCAACAACCCCAGCGCCACTTCCACCACCACCAGCAGCAGCCCCAGCGCCACTACCACCACCAGCAGCAGCAACAACCCCAGCGCCACTTCCACCACCACCAGCAGCAGCCCCAGCGCCACTACCACCACCAGCAGCAGCAACAACCCCAGCGCTACTTCCACCACCACCGGCAGCAACCCTAGCGCCACTACCACCACCATCAGCAGCCCCAGCGCCACTACCACTACCACCACCAGCAGCAGCCCCAGCGCCACTACCACCACCAGCAGCAGCAACAACCCCAGCGCCACTTCCACCACCACCGGCAGCAACCCTAGCGCCACTACCACCACCATCAGCAGCCCCAGCGCCACCACCACCACCAGCAGCAGCAGCCCCAGCGCCACTTCCACCACCACCAGCAGCAGCAGCCCCAGCGCCACTACCACAACCACCAGCAGCAACCCCAGCGCCACTACCGCCACCAGCCCCAGCGCCGCCACCACCACCACTAGCAGCAGCAGCCCCAGCGCCACTACCACCACCAGCAGCAACAGCCCCAGCGCCACCACCACTACCACCAGCAGCAGCAGCCCCAGCGCCACTACCACCAGCAGCAGCAGCAGCAGCAGCAGCCCCAGCGCCACCACCACTACCACCACCACCCGCAACCCCAGCGCCACTACCGCCACCACCAGCAACCCCAGCGCCACTACCGCCACCAGCCCCAGCGCCGCCACCACCACCACCAGCAGCAGCAGCCCCAGCGCCACTACCACCACCACCAGCAGCAGCCCCAGCGCCACTACCACCACCACCAGCAGCAGCAGCAGCAGCAGCCCCAGCGCCACTACCACCACCAGCAGCAACAGCCCCAGCGCCACCACCACCACCACCACCAGAAGCAGCAGCCCCAGCGCCACTACCACCACCACCACCAGCAGCAGCAGCCCCAGCGCCACTACCACCAGCAGCAGCAGCAGCAGCCCCAGTGCCACCACCACTACCACCACCACCAGCAACCCCAGCGCCACTACCACCACCAGCAGCAGCCCAGCGCCACTTCCACCACCACCAGCAGCAACCCCAGCGCCACTTCCACCACCACCACCAGCAGCCCCAGCGCCACTACCACTACCACCACCAGCAGCCCCAGCGCCACTACCACCAGCAGCAGCAGCCCCAGCGCCACTTCCACCACCACCAGCAGCAACAGCCCCAGCGCCACTACCACCACCAGCAGCCCCAGCGCCACTTCCACCACTAGCAGCAGCAGCAGCCCCAGCGCCACTTCCACCACTAGCAGCAGCAGCAGCCCCCAGTGCCACTACCACCAGCAGCAGAAGCAGCCCCAGCGCCACTTCCACCACCACCAGCAGCAGCAACCCCAGCGCCACTACCATCACCACCACCAGCAGCAGCAGCAGCCCCAGCGCCACTTCCACCACCACCAGCAGCAGCAGCCCCAGCGCCACTTCCACCACAACCAGCAGCAGCAACCCCAGCGCCACTACCACCACCACCAGCAGCAGCAGCAGCCCCAGCGCCACTTCCACCACCACCAGCAGCAGCAACCCCAGCGCCACTTCCACCACCAGCAGCAGCAGCAGCTCCAGCGCCACTACCACCAGCAGCAGCCCCAGCGCCACTTCCACCACCAGCAGCAGCAGCCCCAGCGCCACTACCACCACCACCACCACCAGCAGCAGCAGCAGCAGTCCCAGCACCACTACCACCACCAGCAGCAGCAGCAGCCTCAGCGTTACTACCACCACCACCACTATTACCACCACCACCAGCAGCAGCAGCAGTCCCAGCGCCACTACCACCACCACCAGCAGCAGCAGCAGCAGCAGCCCCAGCGCCACTACCACCAGCAGCAGCAGCAGCAGCAGCCCCAGCGCCACTACCCCCAGCAGCAGCAGCAGCAGCCCCAGCGCCACTACCACCAGCAGCCCCAGCGCCACTACCACCACCACCAGCAGCAGCAGCCCCAGCGCCACTACCACCACCAGCAGCAGCAGCAGCAGCCCCAGCGCCACTACCACCACCACCACCAGCAGCAGCAGCCCCAGCGCCACTACCACCACCACCACCAGCAGCTGCAGTAGCAGCCCCAACGCCACTACCACCAGCAGCAGCAGCCCCAGCGCCACTACCACCACCACCACCACCAGCAACAGCAGCCCCAGCGCCACTACCATCAGCAGCAGCAGCAGCAGCAGTCCCAACGCCACTACCACCACCACCAGCAACAGCGCCACTACCACTACCACCACCAGCAGCCCCAGCGCCACTACCACCAGCAGCAGCAGCCCCAGCGCCACTTCCACCACCACCAGCAGCAACAGCCCCAGCGCCACTTCCACCACTAGCAGCAGCAGCAGCCCCAGCGCCACTTCCACCACTAGCAGCAGCAGCAGCCCCCAGTGCCACTACCACCAGCAGCAGAAGCAGCCCCAGCGCCACTTCCACCACCACCAGCAGCAGCAACCCCAGCGCCACTACCATCACCACCACCAGCAGCAGCAGCAGCCCCAGCGCCACTTCCACCACCACCAGCAGCAGCAGCCCCAGCGCCACTTCCACCACCACCAGCAGCAGCAACCCCAGCGCCACTACCACCACCACCAGCAGCAGCAGCAGCCCCAGCGCCACTTCCACCACCACCAGCAGCAGCAACCCCAGCGCCACTTCCACCACCAGCAGCAGCAGCAGCTCCAGCGCCACTACCACCAGCAGCAGCCCCAGCGCCACTTCCACCACCAGCAGCAGCAGCCCCAGCGCCACTACCACCA